AGTGCCGGTCTACAATAGGTGATTTAAGATTTAGCCTTTGTTTTAAGAGAAAAATTACATCGATCCTAGCCTCAAGCTCTAAGCTTTAAAAGATGGGAGTTGGCCAACTCGCTTAGGGCTTAGAGATTAGGGCTTAAGGCAGCGCGAGAAATGTTTAAGGCCGAAAATACGTCATAGTTTAGAGGTTAAGTCATAAGGTTTAGGGCTCAAATCGCCTATTGTAGACCGGCACTAACGTAACGTAATGCATTACGGAAAAGCTTGTGCGGTGGCCCTAAGTGCCGGTCTACAATAGGTGATTTAAGTTTTAAGCTTTAAGAAATTGACCAATCGTAGTCAAGTATAAGGAGAATACTCGACTGTGATTAGTCAATTTCTTAAGGCTTAGGGCTTAAATCACTTATTGTAGACCGGCACTTAAGAAATTGACTAATCACAGTCGAGAGAAATCTGGATATTGATCATGTAACTTTTTCCCTAAGGCGGAAACGTGAAAAGTAAAAAATATTACCATTGAAATTAATGGCATAATTTTCCACTTTTTACGTTATACGGGCTTATCGGGCCTTAAGGCTGGTTTATGCAGGCCGTAACTGTTAATTTATGCCGGAACCGTTAAAGTTTAACACTAGGATTACAAGGATTACAATCATAATGCCATTATGAACAAAAGCATTGTAATCCTAGTGTTAAACTTTAAGTGCCGGTATAAATTAACAGTTACGGCCTGCATAAACCAGCCTTTACTTTTCCCTTAGGGTGCAAACGTAAAAAGTGGAAAATTATGCCATTAATTTCAATGGTAATATTTTTTACTTTTCACGTTTCCGCCTTAGGGAAAAAGTTACATGATCAATATCCAGATTTCTCTCTGCTTCTTATATATAAGATTGTCTTAAGTACAATCTTAAGATGTTACCACTGAATTATATACATATGGAAAGCGCCGTGCTACTCAAGATGCGGGATGACAAAGAGGGCATTGTGTGACCTTTTGTCTCTTTCTGTTATAGGCCTTCTTTTCTAGTGGTAGAATCACCGTCAGAAGTCTATGGTGCTAGTGGAGTCGACTCTATACACATACACCAGTGCAAGAGCTAAGAAGAAAAGAGACAAAGGATCACAAAATGTCCTCTTTGTCATCCCGTACGTTTACACCAGGCTTATATGCATAGATATATTATATATAGATAGAGCTTTATCTATCTTACTGTCTGCCAAGATAATGGGTGCGTTCAGGAGACACAACTATTGAGTAGCAATCGAACGTAATTGGTTCTTACTTCTAGAACCAACAAATCAACGTCGAGCGTTGACAAGACGATGCTCAACGGTTGTGTCTCCTAAGTGCGCCCATTAAGATACTTTCCTCCCTCGCGCATGTGCAATCGCATTCCTCTCGACGGCCAAGAAAATAACCTATTGCTGACGAGAGAATTACCTCTTCTATTTTATGTAGAAGATACTGTGTTTAATAAAAATACAATACATTTAATTTCTCGCATTTGTTAATTCTTAAATTTCTTAAAATTTTAATGCAAATTTCAGATCCTTACAAATAGATGTGCATCCGCCGAGAGAAACATACAAATGAGCATGCGTAAGAGAGGAAAATCTCCTATTTATCTTGGCAGACGTGGCTCTAAAGCCCATATCAGACTATTTAAAGATTGATATTCAAGATTCAAGATTGAAATTTGACCAACCAGGACAAAGAAATTTTAGTTTCTTTTGTTCTGATCAGTCAAATTCCAATCTTTAATCTCCAATCTTCAATTTTCAATGCATAGTCTGATACGGGCTTAAGGATGCAAACCCATGCAGCGGATTAATAACCTAATCTAACGCGGAACGAGAAGAAAACCAATCGCGAGCGTAACAAAAATTGCAGAATGCTCGCGATTGGTTCCGCTCTCGTTCCGCATTATGCTATTCCGCTGCATAGGTTCGCACCATTAGGCCGGATTCACACCTTGGCAGAAAAGCAGAAAGCAAAAAAGCAGAAGCCAATCAGAACTCGCGCTGAAAATAAGCAGTACATTTTGCTTTTTTAGCGCGAGTTCTGATTGGCCTCTGCTTTTCTGCTTTTCTGCCAAGGTGTGAATCCGGCCTAATGGTGCGAACCTATGCAGCGGAATAGCATAATGCGGAACGAGAGCGGAACCAATCGCGAGCATTCTGCAATTTTTGTTACGCTCGCGATTGGTTTTCTTCTCGTTCCGCGTTAGATTAGGTTATTAATCCGCTGCATGGGTTTGCATCCTTAAGCCCGTATCAGACTATGCATTGAAAATTGAAGATTGGAGATTAAAGATTGGAATTTGACTGATCAGAACAAAAGAAACTAAAATTTCTTTGTCCTGGTTGGTCAAATTTCAATCTTGAATCTTGAATATCAATCTTTAAATAGTCTGATATGGGCTTTAGAGCCACGTCTGCCAAGATAAATAGGAGATTTTCCTCTCTTACGCATGCTCATTTGTATGTTTCTCTCGGCGGATGCACATCTATTTGTAAGGATCTGAAATTTGCATTAAAATTTTAAGAAATTTAAGAATTAACAAATGCGAGAAATTAAATGTATTGTATTTTTATTAAACACAGTATCTTCTACATAAAATAGAAGAGGTAATTCTCTCGTCAGCAATAGGTTATTTTCTTGGCCGTCGAGAGGAATGCGATTGCACATGCGCGAGGGAGGAAAGTATCTTAAGCCGGTATTTATAGTCAATTCTTATATTTAAGACCGTCTTAAGCACAATCTTAAGATGTCCTTAACCAATCACAGAGCCGTATTAGCATCTTAAGACATTACTTAAGACGGTCTTGAAATAAGAACTGACTATGAATACCGGCCTATGAATACCGGCCTATGTCTATGCTCGCAATACTCAATCCAGTCTATAGCCGGTATTCATAGTCAGTTCTTATATTTAAGACCGTCTTAAGCACAATCTTAAGATGTCCTAAACCAATCACAGAGCCGTATTAGCATCTTAAGACATTACTTAAGACGGTCTTGAAATAAGAACTGACTATGAATACCGGCCTATGAATACCGGCCTATGTCTATGCTCGCAATACTCAATCCAGTCTATAGCCGGTATTCATAGTCAGTTCTTATATTTAAGACCGTCTTAAGCACAATCTTAAGATGTCCTAAACCAATCACAGAGCCGTATTAGCATCTTAAGACATTACTTAAGACGGTCTTGAAATAAGAACTGACTATGAATACCGGCCTATGAATACCGGCCTATGTCTATGCTCGCAATACTCAATCCAGTCTATAGCCGGTATTCATAGTCAGTTCTTATATTTAAGACCGTCTTAAGCACAATCTTAAGATGTCCTAAACCAATCACAGAGCCGTATTAGCATCTTAAGACATTACTTAAGACGGTCTTGAAATAAGAACTGACTATGAATACCGGCCTATGAATACCGGCCTATGTCTATGCTCGCAATACTCAATCCAGTCTATAGCCGGTATTCATAGTCAGTTCTTATATTTAAGACCGTCTTAAGCACAATCTTAAGATGTCCTAAACCAATCACAGAGCCGTATTAGCATCTTAAGACATTACTTAAGACGGTCTTGAAATAAGAACTGACTATGAATACCGGCCTATGAATACCGGCCTATGTCTATGCTCGCAATACTCAATCCAGTCTATA